CCCTTTAAGCACGAGCCTCAGATAGCCTCAGACAGCAGCCACACAAAGCAACTGCTGACCTGATGCCCTGCCAGAACCGGTTTCAGCTGCCCTTAAATGCCCCCCTGCGTCCAATCAGTGTGGACGCGCTAGTTCGAACTAGCAAAACGCTAGTTCGAACTAGTTTTTAGTTCTAGATGCGCTAGTTCGAACTAGCTTAGTTCGAATTAACTAATTCGAACTAAGTTAGTTCGAACTAGCGCTGTAGTGTAGACGTACCCCATCAGAGGGTGGCAACCTGTTATGTCAGCAGTGAGGTGTGACTTGTTGTACCTGTATATAAGGTGATGTCTTGGGGGGACAGCCTTTGGATGACCAGGGGGCAGTGGAAATTTCCCACGGATCGAGTCATTCCATTGTGGCAAGTACACGTGCGTAGTGGTTTAGTAGAGTCTACTGACAACTGTGACTGTGCTTCGCTCTACAATAAACCTGGCCTGGCACCTTCGATTCTTACCTGGTTTGTGGTCTTTGGGGCTCTCTTGGGGTCTGCTGTGGAGACCGAGTGCACAAGTCGACACAGCCCACGTCACTGAGCGCACACGCAAGCAGCCTAATGGTTATCATTGACGGAGCCAGAGACTTGTGAGGACACCTCGGTAGTAAATCCTGACCAGTCCTCACTGAAGAATTACACGTGTGTGGAAAGCCTCCAGCTTTGGCCAGTCTGAGCAGCACCATGTCCATGTTTCCCAACTATACAGCAGCATGGAGAGGGTACAGCTCAATTAGATCCTGAACTAGGCTGTGATGTTGTCACGTTACCGGAGTTTAAGGGAAGCAGCCAGGTCAGTGCTGCACCCATGGGGGAGTGTTTGACCCAAAAGTTGGTACAAAGGGGGCCATGTGAGGTGTCAAACAAAAGCTTACTTTCTACTGATTCTGTATGTGCTCTTCATATACCTGTATAATGTCCATGTGTGGAGTGATGAATATGTACTCTGTGTGGAGACTGGGAGTTTCTCTGTATGTGGTTGAGCAATGGGCTCAGCCTATGGACATGCTAATTAGCAAGGCTCCAGGGACAAGAGGTCTCTTAAGTACCAGAGACCCACCTATGAAGGAATCTAGGTGCCTGGTCAGAAACCATGTGACTCTCTCCAGCTTGGAAGAAGGGGGGGAGGGTAAATATGCCATGTGGCTGACTCCATGTTGGTCTTCAAATCTGCTCCTGACCCCAGATGTGGCCTCGCAGGGAATCACAAGCCGGAAAGAACTGTGGACCCATCCTGACCTAGGATGTACATCAAGGACTTTTAAGCCAGCAGTTATAACATATCTGCTGGGAGCCTGCATTGAGAACTGGGAGATTCGATGCATGTAACGTATGATACTTTAACAATCTTACTCTCATGCTTTTCATTCCTTTAGTAACAAACCTTTAGATATAGATTCTAAAGGATTGGCCCAGCGTGATTTGTGGGTAAGGTCCAAAGGGTAAATTGACCTGGGATCTGTGGCTGGTTTCTTGGAACTGGACAGAACATGTTCGGGGTAGGTGAGATTGGGTTCTAAAACCCTCTTCTGTGTATGAGGCCCAGGGCCGTCTGGGGCATGGATATTTCTGGGCTGTCGGAGGGGTTTTGCTCGTGAGGCTTCAGGCAGGCAGCTGAAGTGCTCTGTGGGACTGGTTTGTGGCCTATTTGGGAAGGTCTCCAGTCTGGGGGCTGTAAGGAGTCCCAAGTTTGAGCAATTCGCCCTGAGCAGACGCCCAGACCCGGCCTGGTCCGTCACAGATGCAGATTCCATATTGGTTGTAAGCCACCCTTGGCAGATGCTGCAAGGCCAGTCCAGTGGAGAACCGCTGGGTGAGAGCTGGGGTAACTGGTGAGGATTGAACACACGCAGCAAAAGCTGGAGGTGGCTCTGACAGTTTGACTATTCAAAGAGCTTGGATCGTGACCAATGTTCCCGCTAATCTTTTCCATCCATGTGTGAATAAACTGTTATGTGCACCAAGGCACCTGTGAATGCGACCGCGAGGAGAAAGAAAAGCTAGCCGTGGGTGCTCTGCTAAGCAGCTGGGTGGCACAAGCACACAGCATACAGGGAACACTGGTTGTGACTGGACCCGATCTTCGGTTTTGAAGCTCTATCTTTGCCCATGAAACATGGAGGCCAGCCTGGGCCGAGGCCCTCTCCCTTTGCCGGAGTGCCTCATGAAACCAGCTGGGGCTCTACCAGAAGAACAACGTCATCTGCATAGAGAAGGTGTCAGAATGGGAGGTCACTGATCTCAATGCCTATGGACCTGATAAATGCTGCAGTATGAAACCCGTTGCCTGTTGGTGAGCTGTATCCAATGCTGCCTATGCCACGTGCAGGGGGTTCTTGAACTCAGGCCTTAGCTCCAACAAACAAGCAAAGAGCCAAAATGGCATCTCAGGTGCACCTGTGCCTTGTGAATTCTGCCCTGGAGCAGGGCTCCACATGGCCCAGCAGAACACTGGCCTGTAGTTCTCACATCTGATGCGCCGTCTCCTGCCCGTGTAAAGTGAGGTCATAATACTGCCCTTCAGGCAGCTGGCAGGGTTCCAGGCCTCCCCACCAGCTGACATGGACAGAAGTGATTCTGCTGTCGGGTCAATAGCATGGGCTGGCTGCAGATCATATCATTGTAACACTAGGGTGTGTGCTGGGAACTCCTCCATGCAGAGTCTCAGAGCCACTTCAGAGACGTGTATGGCCAGTTCTCCTGGGAGCTGGGTGTCCAGATCCCCTCGGCAGCTTTGCAAGTCTCAGCCCCAGCCAGCAACGGAGACTCAGATGTAGGTGGCCACTGATGAAGAGCTCCACCTCAGAGCCAGAGGGGGCCAGATTTAAGGCTGGAGCTGGAAGAACGGAAACTGCAGAAAGCCCTTAACATCTTATTAATTAGCCTGAATGTGCTTCTTGCTTGGGGATTGCATTAGGACTACACAGGAGCACCAGGTAGCTGGGACGAGTTTAGCACAGCCCCTCCTGGCTTGGCCAGAGGGAACCTTCTTCGGAATACACCTGGCAAACCAGGTGCTTACAAACCTCAGTGTGGAAGCAGATCCAGACAGGCCAGCTGCTAGACCAGGGCATCCAGCCCTTCTTGGTGGGAGCACCACGTTGTAATTCAGTATGGGGGTTGGATGCATGGGAGAAGCTTGGCGAGACATGCAGCAGGAGGAACATGGTCGCCTCCATTCCAGCTCCACACGGAGGTGAACAATGTTCTGCTGGTGTTTCTGGGTTGCCTGCCACCTCAGACACCTGCTGCTGGCTCCTGGCCAGTTCCCAGCTGGAGAGACGGAGCAAGAAGCTTTTAAAACACAAACAAGTTCCGCCACATTCACTCCCGGGGAGCTGTCCTGCTCCCTCCATGGCCATTGTGCAATGCACAAGGGATGATGCACAAAGCAAACCTGACTTGTTATATAGGTGGCTCACACTCATTCTCCTTCGCCCATGCATCGCCGGGGAGGTCAGACGCAGGCAGACTGCGGTCCTAGGAGGCAGGAGCGATGGGTGGAGAAGCGATTGCGCTCGGGCCATAGACAAGGTAAGATGTTCCCAAGGGCAGGCGGCTTGGGAGCTGGGGGCTGGAGCCTCTCACAGGCAGCTCTTGTACTTGGTTAACAGGGAAGGAAATGCCAGTATCAAGTCCCTGTCGGGCTCCAAACATACCTCCTGGGTTCTGTGCTAGGGGAAGAGGGTCCATCCCCATGGAGCTGCTGTCCCGGTGTGACCATGGTGCACGAAGATTTCTGGGATCCCCGTGCAGGAGGGAATATGGCTGGGATGTGGCAGCGGGTGAGTTAGGGTGTGGGTCTCTCGCCTCGATGCCTGTTCAGACTGCGCCTAGCCCAGCAATGGCAAAAAGAAGGAAGGGGACTATGATGTGAAAGTGCTGGAAGGTAGCCTCATGCCCATTTCAGGGACACTGTCCAGGTCTGGTATCCACTTACCAAAGCGTGTGGACAAATTGGAAAGGGCTCCGAAAAGAGCCATAAGAATGATCTGAGGTTTGGAAAACCTGCCTTACCATAATGGGGAGTCCTGTGGCACGTCAGAGACCAACCGATTTATTAGCTCATGAGCTTTCGTGGGTAAACCCACTTCCTCGGGAGAGTCGGACATCCAACTCCAGCTCACCCGAGGAAGGGGGTTTTACCCACAAAAACTCATGACCTAATAAACCGGCTGGTCTCTAAGGTGCCACAGGACTCTCTCTTGTTTTTCCACGACAGCGGGAGAATTAACAACCATAAACTGATTTAGTTTCTCTGAGGGACGGTTAAGAGGTGGCAGCTATCTACGTGGGGAGGAGCTTTCTGGCAGTAAAGGCCCCTGGAATTGAGCAGAAAAAGGCATGATGAGTTGCAAGGCAGGGAGCTGAAGTTAGACAAACTCAGGCTAGAAATAAGGGACAGAGAGTTAAGAGCGAGGGTCACTGGGCATCGGGCCTATGGGCAGGGAGGCTTCTCTGTCACTTGCCGTCTGTAAAGCAAAAGCAGAGTCTTCGGAAAGGATCCGTTGCAGCTCTGCTGCTGCAGGCTTGATGCAGAAATCACAGAGGAGCTGTCTGGCCTGGAAATCACAGATAATCATAATGGTCCCTTCTGGCGGTGAATTCAGTGACCCTGTAAACGGCTTACCTGCCAGGGTCCCCGGGAGGGCTGCTCTGTGCACCAGGGGATGGACTGGTACTTTAGGGGTCAAAAAACCACTCCCGCTGTTGGCAGTCTGCCTCAGCAGGGAAGCGAAGGGCAGGCCCGCGAGACTGAGCTCCGGTCTCAACCTACAGGGCAGGGCAGGCCAGAGGCACGATGTAGGGCAGGCGGCATGCCTTGCTGCTGCGGATGTTGCAGCATTTCAGTGACTAACCAGCGGACTGCAGTCTCCCGAGAGGAGAGATGGCATCATCAAGACTCCAGCATTACACCCGGGCAGGGCGGTGAGGTCAACTCAATCAGTCTCCAGTGTATGAAATGTCCAAATCACTTGCGGAGAATCTGACTTTTGTCTCCCTCCCTACCCACTTATCTCCCTCCCTAGCCACTTACCTGCCTAGCTACCTCCCGGATTGCATGCTGATCGCTGTGAGTCTGACCAGCCTGTGATTTGCTTCCTTCCCATTTTTCCTTCTGACCTGACTTTGCTCCATTTTTTCACTGGATGTGGTTTTCCCAGTGCTGCGGGGGCCCCTCCTTTCAGAATGGCAGGTGCTGGCATCTTCATCCCATGCCCCAGTGAGCTTTGAACCTGCTTCCAAACAAACCTCAAGGTCCTCCTGGGCAGATGGTGCATTTCCTAGCCGGTTCGTTGCATCGGCCCCAAGGCACCAGTCTGGGTTAGGGAGCCCCAGCTAGGGACTTGCTCCAGGCAGCCAAGAGCCCAAAGCAGCTGAGATTCTTGTATAGCATGTTCTTCCAGAAAGGCCTCACCATGGCTCCCTAACATCTGTAGCCCTCTGCAGCTGTCTCACTGGGATGTCATGCAGGTACTAACACACAGCCCCGTTCTTCTTTCCGCTGCACAATTTGGATTGGCTGGAGGCTTCTGATTTGCATAGAGGTCATGCAATTCTGTGTCCTAATCATTCACTACACACATTGCCGTGTGCGCCACTGCTAGCCAATTAGAATGGAGAGATTAGCATAATGACTATACTGTTACATCTTGTAGCCCTCACGTGATTTTCTAGACTCTCGTACTTTTTGGATGGCTCCTGCAATCTCTCAGGGCTGCTCGCTCCCCTCCGAACTCTTCCCCGATGTGCCAGTCACAGCCTCTGATCACACACACAGAATGGGAAGTGACTGTCTAGGAAGGAGAATGGCAGAAAGGGATCTAGGGGTTATAGTGGACCACAAGCTGAATATGAGTCAGCAGTGTGATGCTGTGGCAAAGAAAGCAAACATGATTCTAGGCTGCATTAATAGGAGTGTTGTGAGCAAGACAGGAGAAGTCATTCTTCCACTCTACTCTGCTCTGGTTAGGCCTCAGTTGGAGTATTGTGTCCAGTTCTGGGCATTGCATTTCAAGAAAGTTGTGGAGAAATTGAAGAGGGTCCAGAGAAGAGCAACAAGAATGATCAAAGGTCTAGAGAACATGACCTACGAAGGAAGACTGAAATAATTGGGTTTGTTTAGTTTGGAAAAGAGAAGACTGAGAGGGGACATGAGAGCCGTTTTCAGGTATCTAAAAGGGTGTCATAAGGAGGAGGGAGAAAACTTGTTCATCTTGGCCTCTGAGGATAGAACAAGAAGCAATGGGCTTAAACTGCAGCAAGGGAGGTTTAGGTTGGACATTAGGAAAAAGTTCCTAACTGTCAGGGTGGTCAAACACTGGAATAAATTGCCCAGGGAGGTTGTGGAATCCCCATCTGTGGAGATATTTAAGAGCAGGTTAGATAAATGTCTATCAGGGATGGTCTAGACAGTATTTGGTCCTGTCATGAAGGCAGGGGACTGGACTCGATGACCTCTCGAGGTCCCTTCCAGTCCTAGTGTTCTATGATTCTATGATTCTCCCCTCCCCTGGCCCACCGCTGTAAAGCACAGGTAGTACAGGCACTCTTCATTTCCCATGGGAGAAGGCAGGTCTGGCTGCATCTTTCTCAAGGCGGAGAGATGAAGTCGGGGGTTGGTGGGCAGGAAGGACAGGGAAGGGCCAGAGATGAGGCTGTTGTGTTTGTGGTGAATTGGGAGTTTGGGGGCAGAGGAAGTTACCTTAAGGAATCAGAGTGCAAGGGAGAGAGACCGGGGAGCGTGGACTATTAATACCTGGGTGTGACGCCAGGTACCCTGGTCCCGCTGCTCTCATTGCTGTTTGCCATTAATGCCCGGCCTGTCTCTTCTGCCCAGTTGCAGAGCGTGTGGCAGACCTGGCTGGGATGTCTGAGACTCTCTCCAGCAAGGAGGAGCCCCTGGGGGAGTGCCCTGTGTGCTATGAGAAGTTCCATCCACTGGCGGCTGCCCAGAGGACCCTGAGCTGCGGCCACACTTTCTGCCACGACTGCCTGGTGAAGTGCCTGCTCTCCTCCCGGCTAGATGGGCAGGTCCAGAGCATGATCGTCTGCCCCGTCTGCCGCTACGTGACGTTCCTCAGCAAGAAGGCCACCCGCTGGCCTCCCAAACCAGGGGAGCCCCCTCAACCCATGGAGCTGGCTCTGTCACCCTCGTTGCTGCCCCACCTCACCAAGTCAGTGCCAGACAACACCTTGGTGGTCCCCAGCCATTTCGCGATGCCGGTGCAGAGCTACGACAGAAGCCACAGTATGTGTGGCATCCCCACGGATGCCATGGGCAGGCCGGTGGGCCTGGCCCGGGAAGCCCATGTCTTCATGATCAGCGAGCATGGGATGCCACTGGTGGCGGAGAGCTGTAGATCACTGGCTGCGGGACACGGGGACGAGGCATCGGAGTCCGTGGCATCCATGAGCTCCCTTGGGCTGCGGTGCTGCCAGTCACCCATTATCCTGGCTGTTCTCCTCATCAGTACGGTGGCCCTTTTGGCGGCAGTGTTCCCCTGGCTCCTGTTGGTGAAGCGGAAGGCCTGAGCAAGGCCCACAGAATACTCCAGACAGGGCCTAGGCAGAGAGCTGTGCCTAGAACCCAACCTCGCCGAGATGCCCCCACGGGAATGCTCTCTATGTTCCCTCTCATGTTTCCATCCATGTGCGGAATAAGTTTTGTTGTGTGCATGTGCACTATCAGGAGAAACACATGCTGCCTGCTGGGGGTTCTGTGGGTCCTCTGTCAATCAGACGGGCAGCATTTGAATCTCTCCTGTGTGGCCACCCAAGCACACGGCTTACTGGGAACACTGACCAGGATCCTTGGATTGTCTGCAATGTGCAATTCCTGCAGGTGGCCACAGTGCAAACACCTGTGGTCTTGCTGGCCAGTGCATGACTGGGAGACCTCGGAGGAATGCCCAGAGGCAGCAGGAAATGGCACCGGGACTCAGCTGGTGTTGCACTTCCCGTTGAACGTGGGGCTGAACTGGTGCCCTCAGCAAGGCGCTGAGAGCCATGCGCCACAGTAAACGGGTGGCTGGTACTGAGACAACTCAGGGGCACTGGACTGGTGGGGCTGGGAGGCCCAGGAAACACCAAGGACTTGGCTGCTTGTGGCTGTTTGTGATAAATTCATTCAGGCACCCTCCAGGGACAGAATCCTGCTTGTGTCACTGCAGAGACACGAGGGTCCAACCCTGTTTTATTTAAAGGACCCCGTTGCCTTTGACATGAGTATTTCATCACCCTAGAACGACTGGCACAGAAGTGTCTGGACGTTGGTGATGGGTGTGTGGTCACCTCAATTAAACATCCCCAGTGATGACACAAGTTTGCTAGGCTATGTCTACATGGGGAAGGTTTGGGCACAAAAGTGCTGTCCACATGCAAAAGTGGGCAAAAGTGAAAACTGGTCAAACCAGTTTTTCTGCTTCCCCCTGTCAACATTTCATGGCCACTTTGCTAGCACCCTCTTGGCAGCTAGAGCAAAGCACCATGGGTGAGCATCCCACAGTGCAGTGTTGTGGGAAGGTAGAGCTGCTCTGTGAGCTCTCCATGCTGAGGAGTGTCTAAGCAGCACAGTCATCTCTCCAGCCCTCCCCCTGCAGCAGCAGCCAGTCTGCCCCTGGGTTCCTAGCAGGCAGAACAGGAACAGTCCAATGATTTGCTCTTTGTTTGTTCCCCAAAGGGAGCAGCTCACTCATCTGTCAGATAATTCCCAGGGCTTTGAAAGGGGAGGGGCACATGCCTGCAGGGCAGCAGAGATCGCAAAACACCAAGCACAGCCATCAGGGCGGGCACTGTGGGATACTGACAGAAGCTAGTTCTTGTGACAAAACAAACAACAGAGTCCACACTGGCTCTTTGCTGCCAATAAAGGGAGGGGAATAGACAAAGGTCTCTGGCAGGGCTAAAAGTGTCTTTCCCAACAGAAGTTGCACGGCAGTGTAAACGCTCTCACTGTTTTGTCACCAAAAGGCAGGTTTTGGCAACAAAACATGCCAGTGTAGACAAGGCCTTTGTCTGTTTTCTCCCCTGCAGACATTACAGCTGTAGCGCCCCACTGCCCTGGCTGGGTCTGTGAGTGGGGAGCCTGGAGCTCCGGGCAGGCCAGCGACACCTGGCTGGAGTCCGGGCTCATTGAAGAGTGGGATTCAGTTCCCCAGTAATGTGTAAGTCTTGAGGGTTTTCCTCAAGGATAATTCAGCTTTACGGAGCTGGCTGTTGGTGTGCCACACAACGGCCACACACCCCCTCTCTCCCCCATCACTGGAAAGCAGGGATAGGAACAGGAGGAGCAGGAAGGAATTCACCAGCCTGCGGCCCTCTTGGCATCACCAGGTTCATGGCCTCACTACGGACCTGCTGCTCACCCCCTCACAACTGGTCCTGGGCTCCGCAGTGGCCCAGGGTCCCTGTCAATCTCCTGTGTTTGCTTGGGGCCTGTGAGGCACCTCCCAGGGCAGGGATCTTTCCTGGGTCCCTGGGATGCAGCTGAGTCCCGCTGCATTGCACCCGCTCAGACACAGCTGCCTGTCTACGGGTGGCTGCTCTGAACGACCTCACCAGGGCCTGGGCATGTGGCCAAGGTGCCTGGCTGGGAGGGTGATGACCCCGGAGCGTGTCAGACTCCGGGCACCGAGGAACCGAAGATAAAGATCCTTGTCTCCTCGCATTCCCCTCCTCCCTCTCAGCACCAGCAACCCCTGCCTGGCCACAGCTCCCCCATCCCCCTGCTCCAGGGTCCACTTCCACCCTCGGCTTCTGGCCCAAGGCCCTGGAGAGTCCCTCCCCCGTCGTGGCTCCCAGATACTGAGTCCAGGCCTGGTGACAAAGGGACAGGCACGGGGGGCGGGTTAGAGACATTTCTGTGAGGCCAGGCAGGGAGTCTGGCTGCCAGGAAGTGGGGTGGTTTGGGAATCCCAGACCCATCTGCTCCAGGACTATGTAGCACTGTAAAGACTAACAAGATGGTTTATTAGGTGATGAGCTTAATTGAGTAATATTGCTCCCACATTCTTGCTTTCAGCCACAAGAGGGCACCAGCATGTCAAGAACCCTCGCGCCTGTTTCCCTTGTTCTTTTTCTCGCTTTAGCTCCGGCTGGCTGCGGTTCCTGGCCAGCGCGCAGGGAGGCGGCAGAACTTTCCTTGCACCTGGCCCATAAGCTCCTCGGGCAAATGACACTGGGAGAATCAGGGCACGAACGTTTCCCTGGAAAATGGCCCGTTTTAGCCGAGGGCTCAGTCCTGCCGCGCTGAGGTTACATCCCCAAATCCACCCTGATGCGGGCCAGCTGCCAGGCTGCTCTAGGTTACCCAGCGCAGCCAGGAGCTGTGCGAGCCCAGGGTCTGCCGAGGGCTGGGTGCTCTGCCTTGCCGTGCAGCATGGCCAGGGAGTCCGTGAGAGCACCGTTCCTGTGCTGCACTGCCAGGGCGTGGGGAGGGAATAGCCCGGGTCCAGTGCTGGGGTGTCTGCGTACTCAGCCCTGGCCTCCTGCTCCCTGTCAGACGGGGGCAGGCCTAGAGCTCTCGTCTCAATGGACAGGCTGTGCAGGGAGAGATTCCCCATGTGGGGGATGCTCCACCCCCTGGAATGACCGACTCTGGGGTTTCTCTAGGACCTGAGGATTGATCCCCCTCCCTTTGTGAAAGCACTGCGGGATGGGACCCTTAACTGCCAGTCTGAGCCAGGCCTCCACTTTGCCTGGGCTCTGAACATGGCCAGCAGACCCAGGGGCTGGGAGAGGGGAGCATCATTCCCCTTGCACTGGGAATGACCCGAGGGTGAGACCATTTCCTGGGGTTTAATGACCATCCCGGCCACAGCTCCGGCCACGGCTCAGCCCCAGGCAGCCGGTCACTGATCACCAGGAAGTGCCCTGCAGCTGCTCTGTGGGCCTGGCCTAATTTGATTGCTGGGAGGCCAGGCGCTGGGAGGTCGTTACTCTGATTTGGTTATCTGACTCCAGACATCATCCCCGTCTGGGGAACTTTTCCTGTGGCGGCATCCTACTTAGAGCAGCTGCTTTCCTAGATTTGGAGGGCGTGACCTCCTGGGCACACAACGGCCCTTTCTTTGGCAGGCGGGAGCCCTCAGGGGCTGTGTGCGCCGCGGGTTCCCCTGCCTGAGGGAGGGAGGGTGGCGCTGTTGTGGGTGAGCTGAGCTCTGAGGTGCTGAGCGGTGCCCAACTCAGCAGTCACGATGCTGCACACTCCTTGGGATCCCAGCAGTGGGAGGGGGTTAGCCCCCCCCCCCAGGTGCCATCGCACCCTGGCCCTGGATGCGCTGGTAAAAGGGCATTTCCTTGCTGCTTCCTGCCTGGGCTGGGGCTGGAATCTCTCTCCCAGCACCTGGAAAAGGCTCCATGACCCAGACGTCTGGGATGGGGTTTAAAGAGCCCACTGAGGCTCCACACACCCAGCTGAGCCTGGGACTCCATGGTGCTGCAGAGAGATGTCTGCCCTACAAAGCACATTCCTGGCCTGCAGTGACAGGGCTGAGTTCAGCACCAGAGCTGGCCTGTGCTCATGGGAGAGAAGCAAGACAGGGCAACGCAGGCCTCAGTTCCTCCCCCGCATGGTCTGTGCGCTCCCGCCAGGCACCTCTGAGACCTCTGCTCCCACAGCACGACCCACCCCCAGCCTTCTGCTCACAGACGCTCCCTCCCTGTCACCTCCTCCCTCGGAAGGGCTGCAGGAAGTGTGGAGAGGAGCGACTCCTCCGCTCTTGAGCCTCACTGGCCCCCTGCCTGCTCTCCAAAGTGGGGTGCCCCACAGGGACCAGTCCCGCAGAGGAGCACAAGGGTGGGGGCCAGGGTAATGTGGGGCTCTAATGCCTGCCCTGTGGGAAAGGGCCCTGAGTTGTGTCAGCCCCGCCTTTTGGAGGGATATTGCTGCAGGACGGAACCATGGCCTGGCTGCTCTGTCTCCACACGAGATGCCTTATATCACACACCGCTGTGGGCACCTCCTCCTTGGCACCGAACTTCCCAAGCCCCCAGAGGGTAGGTACAACCGCTGACAAAATGGGGCGGGAGGAGACAAACAGCCATATGGGGACAGGCCAAGGGTCCATCTAGCTCAGTGTCCAGTCATCTGACAGTGGCCAATGCCAGACGGTTGAGAAGCAGTGACCAGAGCTGCCTGTGGCATGCAAGGTGTGAGTGCACCGTGGGGTTAGATAGCTGCTCTAGGGTATTTTCTGCCTTATTTCCTAACGGTACACAACATTTCGTTCACTTCTTTGATTCATTTAACCCTCATCTTTTCTCTGTGTGATTGGGATTACGTTTCCCATCACGTTTACTTTGCATTTCTGAACACTAAATAGTGATTTAGATCTTATTGAGTCCTGCTGTGAGTGCACCGGAATGGATGGAAGCCCACTGGAGGTTCCTTTCAGTCCTCTGATTCTGTGAATTTCATCTTCTATTTTCTTGCCCTGTCATACAGTGTAGTGAGAACTCTTTGTAACCTTTCGTGCTCTGCTTTGATTTAGCTGTACTGAGTGATGTTGTGCAGTTTGCAAACTTTGCCACCTCAATGTTTACCCATTTCCAGCTCATTTTTAATAGGTTGAACATCAGGGGTTGCAGTATAGATCATTAGGAACACGGCTATTTACCTCTCCCCTCTGTGAAAACTGGCCCGTTAGTCCTGTCCTTTGTTTCCCATCTTTTAACCAGTTACTGATCCAGGAGGGGATTTTTCTTCTTATCCCATGACTCCTTTATTTTCTTAAGAGCCTTTGGTGAGGGATTCTATGAAAGGTTTTTTGAAAATACAGGTACTGTATGTCCACTGGATCACTATTGTTTACATGCTTATTGACAGCCTCAAAAAATTCTAGTCGTTTGGCGAGGCATGGTTTCCCTGTACAGAAACCATTTTGATTCTTCCCCAACAGATCCTGTTTATCACTGTGTCTGATAATTCCGTTCTTTAGTAGAGTTTCAGGGAAGTTTTGCGGACTATCCTGCATTTGCCAGGATCACCTCAAGAGTCTTTTAAAAAAATCTGTGTCACTCTCTGTCCACCTGTCGCCTGTCACAGAGGTTGATTTAAGCACTAGGTTACCTACCACAGTCATCAGGTACAGAAACTGACTTAACTGATGGCTTGGGATGGGTTTGTTCCTCAGCTCTCTCTGTCCGGCACCTTTCCTGAGTGCTCTGGCCATGTTCAGAGCAGCAGTGGGCGTGGACGGAGGGCCAGGCTGCACCGGACCAGAAGAGACCGTCGTCTGTGGGAGACAAGGTGTCTTGGGCATGTGTGATTCAGCTGGCTTGGCTGGAGCGTTTGCTAACGGC